AATTTTACATCTATTATCAAACTAAAAAATCAGGCTTATATAACAATTTTTATATTAATATATAAAAAAATCAATCTACACAATTTATATAAAAAAATCAATTTATATAAACATAAAAAAAAACAATTTAAAAGTAAGTATTAATTGGTCATATCAACATTCCACCCTTTAAAAAAATGATCTCCACTCAGGTTTTTCTTGCATGTGAATCTTATCGTGCAGTCAACGTTTCTTGATAGTTTTATTGTCATCATTAGTAAATTTCATTAACTTTTGCTATTGAAAATTTATTTAAAAGAAAAATATTATATATATATATATTTTTAGTCTTTATTTCATTATAAAATTATCGAATTTTTTGGGCAAAATTATATTCCTGCTAGGTCTTTGACTAACAAGACTCTGTTCTTGTACTCCTAAATTTGGATCATCATTTCTTCTATAACTTACAGTAAAAGGTATTGCATTTGTTTTCACATGCGTCGTTTCATCGAGAGGTGCCCTACTCGTAGACCTTTTTTTAATTTGGTCTAAATGTCTTCTAATAATTTTGTCTCCTGTTTCAACTTCAAATGTTAAATTCCCATTTTTACGTTTTATCGTGCCTTTGTCCCATATATTATTTGAAGGTTTTATACTATACTTTGTCACCATTCATGATGTTTCTATTTGACGATAAATTGCAATTAAATTCGTTCATTTATCTTCTTGCGGTTTGATTAAATCCCATCTGGTTCTTATGGTTCTGTTGAACATCACTTCGCTTGGTATCTTGTTGGTTGTCGCATTTGGTGTGTTGCGATAATTAAATAAAAACTTTTCTAAAGCTATATCTAAGTCTATTTTATTATTACTTTCCATATTCCTTTTCATGCATATTTTCATTTATCTTATCATTCGCTCACACTAACCATTGGACTGTTGGTGGTGAGGCGCCATGAAAATGTGATCAATTCCATGATAACTACAAAAATTTTTGAACAAGCTACTTGTAAAATTCGTACCATTATCACTGACTATCATATTGTGTATACCAAACAAACTGATTATTTTTAATTTTAGACTCCGTAGTTATATCTCTCATTCTTCTAATGATAGGAAATTTGCTAAAAGCGTCAACACATACCAAGAAATTGCTACCTTCAAACTGTGCAAAGTCGATGTGTACGCGTTCGAACACTTTTACAGCTGTTTCCCATTCATTTTGTACATTATGAGGAATGTCCGCATATTTGTTACACGTATCACAGTTTCTCACCTCCTGATCTATTTCAGCGTTTAGACCTGGCCACCACAAGTAATCTCTCGCCAACAATTTCGTTTTCCCAGCACCAAGATGCCCTTTGTGTAATTCCTGTAATATCTCCTTTCTCTAATTTTTTGGTATAAGGATCCTATTCTCTTTAAAAAGACAATCTTTAATTAAGCTCAGTTCCATTTCCATATTTTTATATACTTTATACTTTATCTGTTCATGATTATTTATATTGTTAATTACCCATATTAATTCGATATCAATACTAGTTTCTTGAACTATTCTTTTAAAATTTATTGGCCAAAATTTGTCATCAATTTTTTTATCATCTATCTCTTGTATTATTTCTTCTGTGTTCATTTGGGGTATTCTTGACAAACAATCCGGTACTACATTTCGTTTCCCGGGTCTATGAATTATCGTAAAGTCATAAGCTCCCATAGCCAAACTCCATTTTTGAAGTCGCATTGATATGGATGAATTATCCTTAAGTCCCTTCATAAATATATAAACGAGTGGCTTGTGATCTGTGATTATTGTAAATCTCGTGCCAATTAAATATTCTTGAAACTTTTTTACTGCGTATATAACAGATAAAGCTTCCCTCTCTATATTAGTGTAATTAAACTCTGATTTTAATAAAGCTCTTGACGCGAAAGCAATGGGTTTCTCTTTACCATCACCTTCAATATGAAATAAGACTGCTCCTAGACCTTTCTTTGAAGCATCAGTTGCAATGCCTATTGGTAGATCCGGATTATAAAAATTTAACGTAGGCGGAGTACTTATCAGATTTTTTAGGTCGTCGAAGCTTTCTTGATGTGTATTATCCCATAACCATTTTGTATAAAGGATCAGCTATGTCCGCAAAATTACATAAAAATTTTAGATAATAGCTCGCCATCCCCAAAAAAGTTGTCAATTCATCTTTTCTCTTTGGTTCCGGCATGTTAGAAATAGCTTTTATATTATCATCGTTGGGATATATACTACGTTTGCATATATCAGTCCCAAAAAGCTTATTTTATTTTGCAGGAATAAACTTTTGTCGAAATTGGGGGTTAATCCATACTTGATGATCTTATCGAATACTTTTTTTAATGTTCTCCAAATGTATCTCATTGTTATCACCTGTAATTAACAAGTCGTCAATGTAAAATATAACATCTTTTAAATCTCCGAAAATGTTATCCATAGTTTGTTGGAATATTGCTGACGAAGTTTTTAAACCAAACGGCAGTCTCGTAAATTTATAATAACCTTTATGTGTCTATATCGTAAGAAAATCTCTTGATTCCTTGTGTGTGGGTATTTAGAGAAACGCGTTTTTAAAATCCATCTTAGTAAATTTTTTTAATTTTGCGATTAAATCATTTATACGTGGTTTAAAATACTTGAAATATTGTAAAGCAGGGTTGATAGTATTTTTGAAGTCGGCACAGAGCCTAAGTGAGCCATCACTCTTATAAACGGGAGTGAGAGGACTAGCCCATCTAACATCTTCAACAGGTTCAATAATTTTATCGTTTATCCACTTTTGAAGTTCTTTTGTTATCAAATCAACTCTTGAATATGGTATACGCCTTGGCGGTATGATTTTCGGTGTGGCATCGTGTTTTAAACGTAATTTGACATAGCTGCGAAGTATTGGTTTTTTGTTAAGTTTAAAATTGCATTGCTTAATTAATTCTTGTATAGTATTATCATTATCATCCTCGACCATATTCACAAATTTATCTAGTATATTCCCAAAAACTGTTATCCAGGTCCTTCCTAACAGTGCAATCTTATCTCTCTGGACTACATAAGCAGTTAAGATTTGACTTTTGTCCTCGAATTTTACCTTGACTATGTAGTTCCCAATACATTTATTGTGTTTCCATCATATCCAGTTAATTTAATTTCTGATTTATTTAAGATTTTTATTCCAATCTTTTTCGCGATATAAATCGGTAGAATACTATACCTCGAGCCGGTATCAATCTGCATCAAAATAGGCATGTCGTTCAAATATACCGTGACCTTATAAGCATCGTTAGCTGTGTAATTATTATCGGTATCCATATTGTTTATGTCTAAATTGTATAAATTATATTCTTTTCTTTCTAGATTGTCATTATCATCTTCTTTTATCTCTTCTATATTCAGTGTTTACTTTATTTGTATATCGTGATTGATTATTGTCGTTGTTATGATATTTACAATTACATACTTGTCTTCCTTGATTTCTAATATTATGATTATCGTTATATCTTTGAATAAATCTCAAATCGTTATAATGTCTGTTATATCTGTAATTATAATCATTATTAAATCTATTATTATTATAGTTATTGTTATTATAACTAGCTCTATTATCCAATCTCGAAGAATTATTGTACGATCCTGGATAGTTTGCTCTGACATTGTTGTAATAATTCGCGTTATAATTCTGGTATCTAGGGTTGTAATTATTACCTTGATATCTGGGGTTTCCTGGAAAAATATTTCTTTGAAAGTCATGGCCTCTTGTTGTCCATCGTTGTCTGTTATCGTAATTAGATTATAACTATTGTCGTTCGTCAGGGTCTCCATATCTCACCAATTGTTTATTTTCTTCTGTTTTCCTGCCTCCTTGCCTTTCTACATGTTTCACGGTTGTATCATCTTCTGTTTTTTTCGTTTTAAGAAATATTTTCAACTTTAGCAATTATATTTTCTTTCAATTATAACTCTTCAAAATTATCTCTTAAAGTAAGAACTTCTGCTAATGTAATGTTTTCTTTTAACGTAATTTTCTGCCTAATATTTTTGCTGATTGATGAAATTTTTACTTTTTCAATAACTCTACTATCACTTAGCAAACATTCATTTTTTTAAATGCATAATCTACTTACCCAATTCATGTAACTTTTGTTTTTAACTTGTACAGCTGCGTTAAATAAATTGGAACTTGCAGATTTCCTCGTGTGTAATAACCTGAATTTTTCAATCACTATCGATGGATTGATGAAGTCGGTAGGTGAACATATCGATTTGAGCTTGATATATACCTCATCTGGTAGTCTTCTTGTAAAGGAACCTGCTTTTTCGATGTCCGAGATCTGAGTGTCCTTGAAGATGTCTTCGAATCTACTCAAAAAAGATCGCCATTGCCTGAGTATATTGGAAATTCAATATTTATATTAACATTATTATTGGGAATCTGTTTCATATTTATTTATTTATTTACGATTTCCTCGAATATGTAGCGGAACTGCCACCATAAAGTTTTCTAAAAATATTTAAAATGTTACGAGATTATTTTAATTAATTAAGAATAAATCAAAGTTACAAATTTAATTTAATTTAATTTATTTTGATATTTTAGATCTATTATCAAACTAAAAAATCAGGCTTATATAACAATTTTCATATTAATATATAAAAAAATCAATCTACACAATTTATATAAAAAAAATCAATTTATATAAACATAAAAAAAACAATTTAAAGGTTAGTATTAATCGGTCATATCAACAGGTTTAAAGTGTATTCTGTGATTATTTTTTGATTCTCCGTTATTACTCGTAATTTTCCCTTTTTTCCCCACTTTTCCAGGGGAAATTTCCCCTGAGTTAATTTTTCCGGGAATTTACATCTCTACCTCTAATGCATTGTAAAAAAATTCAATCCTAACACAGTAAGAAAAATTCTCATTAAAGACTCTGTTTTTAATATTTGATAGCTGTCAATGTCGTTATCTATTTTTTATTTTCAGTATACTAAACATTCGAATAAAGTAATTTTTTTTTAATTCTAGGTAAAATATTTTTTAAAAATATTGAATTTTTGAAATTGATTTTTTTGTATGATATTTATCAACTTGGAATTCAAAATTTCATTTATATTTGATAAGGATTTACAGAAATAGAGGCACTTTTGGGTGCCATTTTATTAGAGTGTTTTGGGCCTTTTTAAGACCTTAATTAGGGCTGATTTTTTTTTTAAAAAAAGAATAAGTCATTTTTTTTTAAAAAAAGAATGTCATATTTAAAATTTTTAATAACTTATTTTTATTTGTATATTTATATATTTGTTATAAGAAGACATAAGTGAGGGCAATATAGGGAGATAATTTTAGATTAATACTATATATACAAATACTAGAAAAATTTCTAAAGGGTTAAAATTACCTGCTTGCCCTGCCTGCCTATACCAATGCAGAATAAATTATTTGTTAAAATTTAAAGATTATGCAAAAAAGTCTCCACCTTTTAAATAAATTTTTCTATACAAATTTTGCTAGACCTATACTGCCTGAAAATCTGGAAGGGGGGGGGGGGTGTAAAATATATATATTTTTTAAAAAATCTATTTACCTCAAATTTACTTCTTAGTTAAACTCTCAAAACAGGCACTACTAGTTTAATTTAACCAATTTATAATATTAATTTTAAAAAATACAGTATTATAAATTATAACTTCTTATATATTTTACCATTGATGATTTTTTATTTGTATATTAATTTAAATCAAACATGATATTATAACATTTTTATTTTTTAATTGACAATTCCTCCAATACATATACCATTTTTTAAAATGCAATAATAAGAACTTAAGTTTATTTGAAAAAATATAGATTTTTTTTCAAGTACCCACTTTCTCAAGAATATTTTTATATTATAAATTACCATTAAATTATTTTGCAATATTAATAAAACTTGTAGTCATAATTTATTTTATAGCATGTTTTATCTAACACTTTTTTCATATTTGTTTAGACATTGTAAAAATAAAAAGGTGATGCTATTTAAATAATAAATCTGAAATCCAGCTGATTATCCTTTATTTAATGATTTAAAATCTAATAGATAATTTTATATAGCAGATGACCATCCAAAATTTGCTATTAAACCTGATATAATACCGATTTTTACATGAATTTACATTTTTACCTAAATTTTATCAGTATCCTACTTATTTAGCATGAATAATAGGTATATATTGTAAAGGGGGCTTCCCTGCTAATTATTTTTAAATTTTTAACCTTCTTTCCAAATAGCCCCCCCCCCCTCCCCAAAAAATAAATAAATAAAAATTCAGATATTTTCCCAGAAGTGTTAAATTTGAATACCTTTTCCCCTATTATGTAGTCAAGAATCTTTTTAATTTTTTTTTATAGCCACATATAAGATAGAGAAGTAAAAAATTTATTTTTATAATTTGCTGCTGATTCTTCTTCTTATTAGTGTTGTTAAATGGCTTCACTTGAGTTGATTTTAAAAATGACTAACTCAATATTTTATCCATATGTAAGCAATATTTATCTGGATAATATTTTATCCATATGTAAGCAATATTTATCTGGATAAAATATTGAGCTTGTCATGTTTATGAATCGACTCAAAATGAGCTGTTTAACAACACTACTTCTTATTTAACATATAGAGTGAGGTTCCCCACCAACAAGTAGTAGTGTTTAATAGTTCCATTTTTAACAGGTTTTGAGCATATACTTTAAAAAGGCTAAACCGTATTTTTAAGCGAAAACTATCATCTTAACCTTGATCATGTTTACTTAAAGAATAGCTTTATTTTGAAAAATATATAATCTTGTCTCAAGACTTAGCAAATTTTTTTAACTTTAAGGATTTTACCAATTTAACAACACTACAAGCAAGAAATAGCCCAATTTTAACAAAATCATTTAGGATATTTTTTTTATCTTTGGTGTCCTTTTGTCAATTAACCATTTCTTTTATTGATTGACTGATATTAAAAAAAAAGATTTGGAACATGTTGACAATAATAAAATATTATATAAGCAGCATCGAAATGGCTTAAAAATTTATTGAAGGCAAATCCCCTAAAAAAATCTCCTAACCTCCTAAAAATATTGGTGGCCTTCAGCCGTGATATTTATCCACTATTATGCTCGAACCAGGGATGAGAACCCGAACCCTCAATATTTTGCCGAACCCAAACCCTTTTTTTAAATTTAGGGTTCAGGGTTCAAGTTTTTTTTAAATTTTAAAAAAATTATTTTTTTTTATTTTAAACTTTCATTTAATTATTTTAAATTATATGTTAAAAATAATATAAAATAAAAAACATGTAATTTGCGATTTTAATTATAAAAGATTTCCTATTTAAAAAGAGTTCTTATTCAAAACAATTGTTTTTTTATTCAAAAAAAATATTAATTTAAAAAATTTTTTTTGTTTTGGGTCATTTTTCATGTAATTATTTTTGTTATATTTAACCCTTCAATACTCCGGTGAAAAAAATGACGTTAGTACTCGGGTGGGATTTAATAGACCCCAATTTCAAATGTATATATCTCCAGTTATATTCATTATTTTTATTTAATATTTGGATATGAGATAGAACTAACCTTAAACTTGATAAAATATTTATTTATTTTTATTTCTTAAGCTTAGATTAAAGATGACGAGGATAATTATTGTGCTAAAATTTTCTAAAATAAGCTTACTTTTTTTAAATTTCAAATATTAAATTAAAAAATTAACTTATCTATCATGATAATTCTTAATATGGATCTTTATTCTTCAATTTAAAACAAAAATTACACCAATACATTCAAACATAAAAAAAATATTGAACATTGAAATATGTTAAATTTGACTTGCAAAACATGTATTACATAAAACATTAATGTGTTCTAAACATAAATTTATTTTACATATTTGAAAAAAAATATTTGTTTTTTATTTTGATGGTTAGATTTAAAAATTCCAGCTAAATAAAGATTTTCTAATAATGTCTCATCAACTTCTTTAGTAGAACTTTCATATTGGTCAGTATAGTTTTTACATATAATTTTAATTTTTTCATTGGTATGATAAATAATCTCTTCAATCATTTTTGGTGTTATCAACAAGTCTGAATTACTAAATTTTATTGTTGAGTTCTTATTCTTTGATTAGGATCCTTTTTCCATTTAGTAAACTTATTTTTAGCTAATTTTAAAGAGAAATATACTTTGATAAATGATTTCATATATATCTAAATAATATTAGGTTTATTGTCTTCAACCAACATTTCTTCTTCCTCTAATTCAGATTGTGTATCATGATCACTATCATATATAAAATCTTCATCCTCACTATTAATTATATTAATCACCTCAAATAATATGATAAATATCATATTATTTAATAATGATATATTTAGTTTCAGAATCTGCAAAAATCATTATAAATGATAAAAATAATTTGAGAAATGAGCCAGCTGGTGAAAAATAATAATAAAATAACTCCACCAGATAAAATTTTTGCGTTTTTTTTTCATATATCTTATTCATAATATAAAATATTTAAATTTTGTTTTAATAAATTTTATAATATAGTAGGATATATTTATAATTTTCTAATTTACTCTGGTGGGGTCTCACAACCCCAATCAGTCACAAAATGCTTATATCTTAAAAACTTCAACTAAAATATGAAATTTGGAATATAGATTCTAAGATATATTTGATGAAGCTACTGAAGAATCCAGATCATAATATTTAACTTTTTATGTAAAATCATTTTTAGTATTATAATATATAATATATTATAATTATGATGATAATTATTTTTATGGCGATAATAATTAAAATTAATTTTTTTAAAAAAAATGATGTTTCTATTATTTTAGCTAATTTTAATAAGTCATTGATTTTCTGGTCTCCGAACCCTGAACCCACCTGAACCTGCACCGGGTTCAAAGATTTTTCACTAAGCCCGAACCCGAACCCATTTTTAGAAGAAGGGTTCTCGTCCCTGGCTCTAACAACCCCATGATATTAATTTAAAAAATCTTATAATGAGCCACCAATTTAACTTCAAAACCATTCTAATTACAATCTTCTCATGAAGCAAGGAAACATATCGTTAGTTAATACCAACCATATTCTGAATATTCACTACAAGCATGTATACTTCATAATCTAAATTTTCCTAAAAACAGATCTGATCCCATATTATCATTGTTTGTGGTTATTTTATGATTGTTTTTATAATCATATTTTATTTATTATTGCCTAATAATAATCAATGAATAAAGGAAACCTAAATCGAATATTTTAAAAGAAATAGCTAAAAATGTTATTTTATTTTACCATATTATTTGTAACAATAAAGATTTTTTAAATATATAACGAGTCACATTCAATTATAAACATTGCCCATTATTCCGATATAAATCTACACACATTTCAAACAAACATATAGTAACAAAAAGGGCAAGAAATATGACTTTGGAAGATAAAACCATAACATTTCTAATTTAAAAAATTCAAAATAAAATAATAAAATATAAAGTATCATTAACGTTAATAATAGGCATGCAAAATTATATACCTTAGCTTTTATTTCCTTGCAGCAATTTAAAGGGATTCCATCTGTGTGGTTAAAGGGCTCAATTTGAGCCGATTTTTAAATAGGGCTAACTATATTTTAGCCAGATATTGCCTAATTCTTGAGATTTCGACAATATATGACGTCCAAACCTTTGTGCCATCTGAGCAAAAACTTCAGGCTTACCTAAAATATTTCTGAATAAAATATTGAGTTAGCCATTTCTAAAATCTACTCAAATAGAGTCGTTTAACAATAGTACCCATCCGAAGGAGGACCAAAAATTTAATAATAACTTAAGAATCTGCAGGCCCATCTCGAATCTCCCATAATGTAATTTGGTATAAAAAATTCGGGTTCAATTTTATAAGAAATATATAAATTAAAATTAACTAGTTGTAAAATCATAATTATTTGCTATTCATATTTTTAATGCCCCTTTGAAATAACTTAGATAAAAATAATAAAAAAATTTAAATCCGAGCCTGATAATTTGATCTTTACATGTCTCTGATGAGACTGTGTTAATATTAAATTTCGGATCAGGGTCGATATTTATAGTTTAAAAAAAAAATTGGGGCGGGTCTTTTTTTAAAAAAAATCGAATTATTATAAAAGTAAAAGTTGCTAAAAATGAGATTTTTTTGTTTATTCCACAAGAAAAAGATCTGAAATTATTTAATGAATCAGAAATGATCTGCCATAACATTGCCAATATTTTAAATAAGATGATTAATTTTATTGGATAAAGAAAACAATATACACCTAATCATTCATGATAATGCACCATAGCGCATTGTCCATGAGAAACGGAAATTTCCAAAGTGTTGCTTATTTTTTTAAATAGAAAATATAAAAATTAATCTAAATATCGGTTATCGAATGTTTTGTGAAAATATTTCATTTTATTTTACTATAGAAACCTGTATAAATATTTCGGGTCGACCCGAATCATCCCATGAAGATGTATGAAAAGATTAATATTTTTGTAAAAGGTATCCTACCTTGTTTATATTAATTTTTTATAAAGGAAAAAGAAAAAATTTACCTAATTTAGGCTTAAGAAAGTTTGCGAAAATCCCGCTCAGTTTGAAAATCTTTTTGCTCCACCCGACCGACCTCTTGTAAATATACAAAATACGAGAATGAATTATTATCACAAGTTAGAATTATTTTCCTTTTTCTTATTTTTTCTATTTTTTTTTATTTTGTTTCATAATTAAATTTTAGCCTATAGCCTACAAAAGTCGGGGGAAGGGGAAAAAGCAGAATGGTAATTTATTGACTTTTCCCCCTCAATTTATATATATTTTAATATTATATAATTATTTTTATCAAATAATTTAAAAAACATATATAGTATGCAGTATGGCTAGCTAGAAGCATAAGGGAAGGGAGTGAGAATCCCAGGGTTTATTAAATCATCATTTATTTATTTTTTAAAAGTAAAAAAAAATCGAATTTTCTTGATTTGAATCAGATATTTTAAAAAGATTTGATTTTATATGACAAAAACTTTAAACCTAGTTATTAATTTTTCAAAAAAAATAATCCTAATCTTCAATCAACTCTTAGGTGTAGCGTGTTCTTAAACTCTGCAGAAAGAATGTTTTCCCTTTCTCCTAATCCATATAGGCTTAAACTAAAAAAAGCTGGAAAATTATTTTTCATTTTAAATATTTTAATTAGTGTTGTAATCGAACGCTTTCATGTTTTTGAAAAAAATGATGAACGGTGTTCCTTTTATTTTTGACGAACTTTGAACGTGAGCGCATTCTTTTCTTTTGAAGAACGCGTTCGAATTTAACGTTCGTTCAATTTAAAAACATTTTTTATTTATTTGAAAAATTTAATGTTTCCGAATTTTTAAGAAAAGTCTTATATTTTATAATCAGCTGTTTTTCTTTTTCCACATTTTAATTTTTTAACGTCATTATTATAGTTTATTAATTTGAATATTATTGTTTATATTTTAATTTAATTGATTAGCATAAGCATGGATATTATTATTTCATCATCATCATCTGATTCTGAAAATTCAAAATCAGATGAATTAACATTACCATGGCCCTAATATGATAAATATTTTACAGTAACATCCTATATTGAAGGAACTAATTCAATACGTACCAAATGTAAAATATGCTCAAAAAGTATTATATCAGTTTAAAAATCTTCAAGTTCCAAACGACATTTGATTTTAATATTCATGTTTTTATTTTATATAATATAACTAAAATACGGGGCTCAGGGTACGGGCCCGGGTTCACATCCCTGCATAATAGTACTCACAATTTGAACGTTTCAAATGCAGCTTTTCAAAACGCATATAATGCATTTTAATAAATTTTGACGTTTCATATTAAAAAAATAAAAATTAACGCTTCAATTTGAATATAGTTGCGTTTACGTTTTTTATTTGCTTTTTGAAAAGCTGCCTTGAAACGTTCAATTTGTGCGCACTATAATGCATGATTGTTGTGAACCTTGATTAAAATTGGTGAAAAGAATCTGATAAACATATTATTTTGCACTAATTTATATATATTTAATTTTAAACTGTTATATAAATTAATTTGATCCAAGATTTCAAAATTTGAAAATTATTTCCGAATATTTTGCTACAAATTTTACGACACCAACCTTAGATTTTTAAACCATCTAAATCAGCATATTTGACAATGATTGAAATACAGAAAAAAGAAATTCAAGTTTACTTGGTTAACATACTGTACCACAGTCAGATGCACCCTTTTAAGAAAACTAGCTAAAATGGCTAAAAATGTTCTTTTGCATACCTGCGATAAGTACACATAGCGAAAGAATCTTTTCTTTGGTGGGTTACTTAACACCATTTTACCAATCTTTATAAAATCATATTCACGACAATTAGCATTTAGCTAAATTTGATTTAATTTATTTATAATTATTACCTAAATATTTTGTTTACATTTAAAATTTATACGATAATATTAGGGTAATTCAAAAACGAATCTAATAGTACATTATTTGTATTCTATTCGTTTAAACGAAGCGAATTATTTACTATTCATATTTGTACGAATTTTACTATTGGCATTCAATTCTAATAATCTGTTTTTTTTAAATATTATCAAATAATTCATATAAAAATATATTAAAAATTTTTTTATTGCGCATTTTATTTTGAATAGAAAAAATTATCACAATTATCTGATGATAAAGAACATGCGATCAAGTTATTGTAATTAAAATGCATATTAATTTAATTTATGATGCCAACCCAATTTTTAAGGCAAAGGGTTTTTCTTATTATTTTTTCTTTATAAGACATGCGATTTTTTGACAGCAAGTTAGTTTTAACTAAGAAAAGCCTTTCACAAGCAGCTGATATATACCTTGTTAATCACTACACCTGTTAGATTGATAGGTTATCAATAGAAATGCCAAATGATTAAATTAACTTAATAATTATTACCAATAGATTTATTATTTGTCTAACAAACGAGTTATTAAATAATTCGAGTTATTAGTTTTATTCGAATCGAATAATTCGTAAAACAAACGAATCATTTACTATTCTTATTCATTATAGATTCGAATAATAGGCCTAGATAATTATATAAATAGTGTATATACTATATATACTAGCAAATAACCCGCCAAAAAATGACGGGTTAGTCAGAAATTTTCCCTTCATTTCAAGATGGGTGAATCAAAAATTTTCATTTTATTTTGGTAAGATATGAATCAAAAAAATACCTCCAGAAAATCTAATCAAAAAATGATTTGTATTCGATTCGTAAATCTCGAATCTAAATTTAATATTTTTACGAATCTAATAATTTTTTTTAAATTGGAAGGGGCACTGCTTACCTATACGTGCATCCTCCTCGACTACAGCTCTGTGTATAGTATACAATTGTAAAAATTATATTGGTGATATCAGATGGGCTGATATCAACCTATTGGAAAAATCATATCCGATCGACCTCAGTAAACGGTATCGGAACACCTATAATTCTTACAAAAATATATATTAAAGTCATTTAATTACTACCATTTCATTTCAAATTCTCAGCTAGCTAGAATACTTTCAAAATACGATAGCTATGCCTTGTCATGGCAAATTGGACATCCTGAGCTACAAACTGTCATCTTATTGTTTGGCCCTTCGTCCATGGACTTTTACCGCCTCCGTTACACCAGTCCTTCTTGGCACGGTCTTGGCCTACAAGCATGCCCTCTTTCTCACCCCCTCAGCTTCTGCGCCTGACCATTTTTCTGCCACCATCTTAGCCCTGACGCTCTTAATCTCACTAGCCACACATGGAGCCGGAAATCTCGTCAACTCATACTACGACTTTCTTCTCGGAGTCGATGCTCTCAAGGGACCCGCCGCTCGCGATCGCACTCTCCTTGATAGGGTTTTAGCTCCACCCGAGGTCGTAAACCTTGCAGGCTTCTTGTATTTGGCGGCATGCGCAGCCCTTCTCGCTCTTTGCCGTGTCTCACCTGCCCGCACTGAGCATTTGGCCCTCCTCTTCTTCGGTGGCATGTCCGGATCTTTCCTCTACACTGGCGGAGGAGTTGGTCTAAAGTATTTCGCAGGACTAGGCGATTTGGTGGCCGCCCTCGTGTTTGGACCCGTATGCGTTTCTTTTGGGTATCTAGCTCACTCGGGTCGCCATGCCTCTCTTCTTGAAGTCCCGCTTGTCTACTCTCTTCCGCTCTTTGCCGCCGCTATTGCTGTCGCACACGCCGCAAACTCTGTTGACGCCTTTCTCTCTCCACCTCGATCTCGTCAAAGGACGGTTACATTTAATACGCCACTTCAACTGTTAGGCTCTTATGAAATTTTTAAATTTAGGAAAATAGTATTTCTTAATTGTTTCTAGATCGTGTAGTAGTCACGAAGCGGACCTTCGTCATTTTAGTTGCTGGTTTTGATATTAAGGTTCTGGTACCAGATGCAAAAAGTTTTAAATATTGGAAATGAATTTGAAATATATGTAATTTTTTTTAAAATTGTTATCATTATATCATTTAAATCTTCAAATAAAATAGTTGTTCTTAGCGACAATAAATCGTATGCAAATGGTGAGAATATCCTTTTAACATTTACCTGAGGTGTAGATAAAGCTAAAAAAAATTAGATAATTCAATAATGCGGAAAATATTAACGTTTTTGGGATTCTCATAAAACAAATATATTTTTCCTTTTCATATTCTTTTCTTCTAATATTAAATTCACCGAGGAAAAATCCAATTTTAGGTGAGATTTATTTATATGTTACTCTTTTGCTTCTTTTATTTGAATTATTTATAAATAAGTTTCACCGTGGGAATTTTCGAAAATGTCCTTCGCCACCTCTTTTATGACGGAAAAAATTCTTAATTATAAGTAGGGCTGGGCCGTTATTTTCCGTTTTCTAAAAAAACCGGATCCGGTCGATTTTTAAAGACAACGATCTTATATTTTCATTGTTTTGGGTTATTTAACGATTGTATATTATAATTATATAATATTTTTTATTTTATACATAATTACACACATTTCAATTAATTTGTAATCCAAAGAAAATTGAATTGTTTCAAAAGAAAGGGTAACTATGAAAATGTGATTATTATTATTTTTTATTATATTATTTACAGTTGCAACTAAGAATGTTTTTAAAATTTTTATTGAGCCACATTCAGCCATAAACATTAACTATATTTTAAATGGGGTGATTGACTTTTTAGGAATTAAAAAAGAAAAAAAAATACCCTTAATCATTTGTGATAATACACTAAGTATCACCAATATTAATTTAAATATAGGGTCGGTGTGGGATGGGTTTTGTATAAATATTGGTCAGTGAAAAATTTATGGATCGGCACAGTCCTAATTTTTTTTTTTTTTCTTTAGCTTTCACCTTTTCTGGTGGTAAGCTCCTTCATCTCTCTCCACTTTATGTTATTCATACAATCTCTTTTATCTATTTTATACTTCTTTATATTGGCTCTAACTTTATGGCCCTATTGAAGTTTTGGCCTTCCTCTTTTACGTTTGCCCATCACTTCCAAACTTTCAACTTTATTTCCTATGTAGTTTATAGGCCTTCTCATTGTGTGCCCACACCTAAGTCTGTTTACCATTAACTTAGTCTTAATGGGCACTACATTTAAACTATTTAGTATTCTTGTACTGCGCACCTTATCCTTTCTTGTTACCCCAGAAATCATCCGCAGCATTCTCATCTCCATAGTTTGTAGATTTCTCTCGTCTGATTCTTTGGTTGGCCATGTTTCCGAACTATATAGAATAGTTGGTTGTACTATGGAACTGTAGATTTTTCCCTTTAATTTGTGTGGGATTCTTTTATCAAATAGCACTACAGATAAAGATCTCCACTTTAGCCACCCTTGATTAATCTTACTCTTTATCTCTTTTTCTATTGTGCGGTTTGTTTGTATAGTGGAGCCCAAATATTTTCAGCTTTCAATTGCCGATACTGCCATTCATTTATATCAATACTCTCTATTTCATCTCCTCCTATCACCATATACTCCGTCTTTTCTCTATTTACTTTTAATCCGTGAGTTTCTAGGATATTTATCCAACTCACTAGTCTTTCTTTCATTTCATCCTTAGATTCGGCAAGTATCACAATATCATCTGCATATATCATATTCCACGTGACTGTTTGAGGTATAGACTGTGCTAATACATCTATTACTGTAATGAAGAGAAGTGGGCTGAGAGCCGACCCTTGATGAACTCCTTCGGCTATTGTGAAGCCTGCTGAAGTACCTGTTGTGCTACGGACCATTGTTGTATGTCCCATATACATATCCTGTATTATTCTTATATATTTTTCGGGAACTTTTTTGTGGCGTAGCGCCCACCAGATAAGTTTTCTTGGGATTCTATCGAAAGCCTTTTCTAGATCGAGAAAGACCATGTGTAGCTTTTTGTTCTTTTCCCTGTATTTTTCACTCATTTGCCTAATTGCATGGATAGCATCGGTTGTTGATCTTCCAGGCATAAAGCCAAACTGAGTCTCTCCTATTTCGATTATATCTCTTAATCTTTTTTCTATTATTTTTTCGTATAGTTTTAGACAGTGTGACATTAGTTTTATGCCCCTGTAATTTTGACAATTGTGTGGATCCCCTTTATTTAAGATAGGAACTAGATAGCTCTGCCTCCATTTTTGGGGAACCTCTTCATTTCCAAGTATTTTATTGTACAGATTTGTGAGGAGATGTATTCCATCATTTCCTAGTGCTTTAAGGCTTTCTATTGGAATATCGTCTGGACCCCTAGCTTTGTTGTTTTTCATATGCTTGAGGCATGTGATTATTTCTTGAGGTTGTACAAGGTTTTGACAAGGGGAGTGTTCGTCGAGATGCAATATTTGGGAATTAAAGTTGAGAAGCTCCTGAAAATATTCTTTCCATCTATTCATTATTTCTTTTTCCTTTATTATCAATTTCCCATCTTTATTTTTGATTACTTTCGGAGCTCCGTTTATATCCCTATAGTTCTTTTCTCGCTGTTTGGCTAATCTGTATATTTTATTTTGCCCTTCTTTGGTATGTAGATCTTGTACATGTCATCGTATGCCATAGATTTGGCTCTAGCCACCGCCTTTGTAGCTAATCTCTTGGATTTTTTGTATCTTGACTTGTCATCTGCATTTTTGGATTTGTACCATATTTTATAAAGGGCTTTTTTCTCCTGTATAGTGGTTTGTACCTCTTGATTCCACCACCATAGTTCTTTGTGTGATTTGTTGCCTCCTCTTGTCAAGCCTAGCGTCGATTTTGCAGTGTCTATTAATCTGGATGAAAGGTCTGTCCAGATTTTTTCACTGACTTGTGAGCAATTTATTGTTTCAATGTTTGCATTGATTGCAAAGGCATCTGTCATTGTTTTTAATTTGCCCCATTTGATGCATGGTTCCAGTTTTATCTTATTTTGAGTGGATTTATTTGAGATTTGTAAATCCATGATTAGTAGCTTGTGTTGCGCGGCGATATCTTCTCCTGGGATGACTTTGCAGTCTATTACATCTTTTAATCTTCTGCGAGAGATTAGCATGTAATCTATCTGTGTTTTCCTAGTTCCACTTTCATATGTTATTAAATGACTGTCTTTTTTCCTAGTAGGTGTTGGTTAAGGCAAGGTCGAAGGCTTGCGCAAATTTCAGTACGTGCTCTCTTTCATCATTCCTTTCTGCATATCCAAAACCACCATGATGCCTTTTGTAGCTATCTCTTGCTTTCCCCACATGCGCATTTAAGTCACCACCAATTATGACTAGGTCATCCTTAGGGATTTCCATTACAGCTTCATCAAGGATAGCTCTAAAGTCATCTTTCTATTCTTCCTTGCAACCCGATTGAGGAGCATATACTGATAGGATGTGTAGTATTGATTGACCAATGCAGAGTTTTATCTTCATCAGTCTATCAGAGATCCTGTTGACTTCTACTACTGAAGAGGTTAGGTCTTGGCTGAGGATGATGCCGACACCGTTCCTATTGCTAACAAGTCCATTATAGTACAATTTATACCCATCTCCAATCATCAAAGTTTTCTGTCCTTTCCATTTCGTCTCTTGTATGCACGCTATATCAACTTTTCTCTTGTTCAACATTGATGCCAATTCTCTCGTTTTACCTTTAAGCGTCCCAATATTCAAACTTGCCAGTCTTGTCTTCTTTGCTTTGACCTTTACTTTACTTTTCACAGGATGGAGGTCTACACCCTGCGCGTCGCATGGAGGGAACGCCCTAGCTTTCATATTCATATTTCCATTTATTTCTGTCATTTTGTTTATTGGACAGGTATCCTTAGCACCCGGCTGTCCAGGCCTGTCGGTGACCGGGGTGTCATCTCTAAGCTCCGAAATTCATCATACCATATGTCTTTACACATCAGTCATCGAAGAAAAACTTTGAAAGTTTTTGTTCCTTCAGGATTGAACCTGCGTCTTTGTTCATACTCGTGTTTCCAATCGTACATCTTACCCATTAGGCCACCCCGGCGATACAGTCCTAATTATAAGTTTTAAAAATTTGCGAACTTTCAGCTCAGCCCATAAAAATATTTTGCACAAGTTGTCCGGCCCTCGCGCCGCTCCTATCTTTAATTCATATAATATATAATGGATGATATAAACTATATAGTACCATAATTTTTATTAATATTGATTAAAAATTAATTTCCATTTTCGCCATAATATGCAATTTAGGTTGTTTTTATTATATTAAGATATAGAATAAGGCTTGGGACATACCAGAGCGTAGCGCATGTTAAAAGATAGCAAGCCAAAAATTGAGCTTTATAAAATACCGTTTCCTAACATTTGAATATTTCTCAAATTTTTTATCGTCTGCTTACAAGTTATATATATTTAGAATCATTTTTATATTTCAAAATAATAGATGTATAATATAATATATTTAAAACTACCCTGTACAAATTCTAGCAATATATTATTGTTTTAATTTCTTTAATAGACCACTAAATATTATAACGCTTTGATGTTGCCTTACCCTTAATTCTCAATTAGCGCAAATTCACGATGAAGAATACAAAAATACAGCCCATACTTCGCCGCGAATTTACGCTAAATATGAATTAAGTGTTAGTCTAACATTCCTTTCGCGCGTATAAGTGCATAAATTATGGCAAGTAGAGATTAAATTAAGACCTTACATCTTGTTCATTTGGTATCAAAAATTTGTTAATTTTATTTATCATGCTTCTAGGACCTCTGATTCAAATCATTTTTCACTGCACTGGAGTCCAAAAAATATATCAAAACTTAAAACATTACTAAATTTAAATGTATTTAATGTGAATAAAAGCTACTATCAAATGAAAAGTTGTTCGGGTAAAAAAATAAATGCTATACATATACAGCACTACACGGGTCCAAAGCCGACCCGAACTTCGGGCTCAGTCATTGAAAACTTTTTCTTGGGCGTGCTATAAGAAGTAGCCTGACCCGAGGCCTAAAAATTTATTATAAATATCCTCATTAATCATTGTTTCATCGAAATGCCAATCAGAATAACATGCCATTTTTCATATAACACATTTAATTTAATTAATTTCTCAAATTAACACTTTCCTGTAATTTGTATTGTGACTAGTTAAAACTCTTTTACTTACATACATCATATTTATCAGATTAAATAAAATATATTCTACATTTAGCCAAAATATATAGAATATTAATCTGTAACAGTTATGAAATATTTTAATTTGATAATTTTTTTTTAATATGAGATCTATTCAATAGCCCAAACTTTTTTAATCGTGCTCGGATCGGATTGGAACAAAAAATTTGTGCTCGGGCCGGGCTCTGGCGCAATTTTTTTTTTAAAATCCGGCACAGGCCGCTAAAAAATTCGCAGGGCTCTATATACTTATGAACCCTTCAGAGAAAAAATAAAAATGATTTTGTTTGTATATTTTTATGTATACAGGCGTGTCACTACGTTTGCCCATGTCATAGGACCAATTCTTTCGGCCTACCTTTATGCCGCCGCACTATTATCACCCTACGCCATGTTCCTATATTTATCCATAACTCGGCACAGCTTTTGGTTCCTTTTACCAAGCCTGACATTATTTAAATCTTTGAGATCTGTTAAACGATTCTCCCAGAGTCTCAACGCCACTTCCGGTGCGGACTCACGTGATTCTTATGTAAGTTATTTTGAAATCTTAGGGGCGGAACTCCAATTTTCTAATTTTATTTTCTTATTTAAAATAATAAGTTTTATGAAATATAATGGGTAAAAATTGTTGTAATAATACTTTTGATATGTGTTTAGTAGTTATTATATAAATCATAATAATTATATTAAATTGATTTTATTATGTATGATAACTCTAAAATAAAAATGGTACCTATCTCCGTTCGTTTTTGACAGGAAATTTTTTTATCGTAAATTTTTAAACAAGATAACAATATAAACAAAATAATTAATTATGAAAAAAATCATATTCTATTCTTTATTTATTATTAAATGAGCACTGTTTATCATTTTCACGGGCATATACAAATTACAAAACTTATAAAAAATAAAAGTTTTTGAACGAAGTTATTCGAAAATTTGGGCTATTATTTTCGGTATTTTCCAGTGTTTCGGATTCCTATTCTCTTTCCCCCACTCTCTCCAATGGCAAGGCCACCGCTTATCATTCACGCGACTCTGGCGGGGATCATGGTTACCTCCCTTCTCCGCTACGTATATCAACATTCAACGTCGAAAATATTCCGTACAAGACGGCCAAACTTAATTTTGAAATGGGGGTCTACTACGTGCTCGCTTGTTACTTAGCCCCATCCAAGCACATGTTTCAACAAATGTGAGATTTTCTCTATCAATTTCTATTCTATGACATCTGGAGACATATACATTTTATTTCTACATTATTTGTAATTTTTTTCTGTCATTGACATTGTTTAGCAGTGTATTATATTACACGTTCCAGTAAAGGTAAGAATATTATATCATCTATACATATACAGTAAAATCTGGAGACGAAAAAATTACACTAAAACGTCTTAACTTATAACTTTTTTTGAATATATCGCTTTTTAAGAATCCTTTTATTAGTTAATATTAATAGTAACTCTTTGCTTTTCTTCGAATATTATATAAAATTTATATCCATACTTTTTGATGATTAAAATTGAGTTTCAGAATCTAATCAAAGATCTCCTTCTTTCTATTTTTTTTAAACTACCCCCTCGCTAATTCATTTTTAAATATCTTCTTCTACAAATGCAATTAAATTTTTATAAAAAGAATCACATTATAATAAAATATTTTTTTAAATATTGGTATTTTTAAAAAATAACCTTATCTGTAAAATAAAATTCTAAAAATTATGTATAACAATGTATTATTTAATTATCAAATAACGATATCTTATGTATAAGTATATTACATATTAACAAATTATTTTAAATTGCGTTTATACCTGTATAAAAAATAGCCGAACAATGCACAGCAAGGTTGTCGTTATTTAATGTTTAAATTTTGTTTATATAAAGGTCATTAGTTTGTCAATTTCACAGAGTTATTTTTAAAAACAAATTTCAAAATTATGATTACGTGCAATTCATGTTGTTAAAATATTTATCATGACCATTTTTAAAAATTATCGTCTGTGAAATGTAAAAAAAAATATATATATAAATCTATATTCGCGTTATTTGTCTATCGAAGATTTTTTTAAAAAAAATTTTTAAACAATATTTATCTTTCTTTCTTGAAAGCTTGACAATAAGAATAACTGGCTAGTTTAACTAATTATTGATTGGTTAGCTTGTTATAGATAGTATATAGGCCTAATTTTTCAAGTCTGGCCCGATTGGGAACGAAATTTTTTTTTATTTGTCCCAAAAAGCCTGGCTCAAAATAAAAAACTATTTGTCAGTCCGGGCCGAATTTATTCAAATATAAATTAATTCTTTTCCAATATTTACACTGAATTTAATCAATTACAAACATAAAAATTATTGGCTCTTAATGGAAGATTCGCAATGATGCACTCTTTTAAAATATTTTTATTAAAAAAGAGGTTTCATCTTTAAATTTGAAAAAATATTAAATATTATCAATAAATTATTTTCTATTACCAGTCTTTAATTCTATTATAATATACGAATATTTTAATATAATTATCGTCATTTATTTTATAAAATGTTTATGTAAAATATATAATATTTACAAATGGTAGATTAAAAAATATATGTAAAAAAGAGTTGTTAATGTCTTATCTGTATCTAGATACACTTTTATAAGAGGATCTGTTTATAAATACTATTTTAGAGGAATCTGTTTTAGATACTTTTTGGGAACATTAACGCTTTTTTATCTTACAAAGAATGCAAAATTCAAGTGATCTATTATGAGCATTTAATTTAAATAAATATACATCAAAAAATATTTAGACTATTATATTAAAAAAAATATATAATATTAAAATTTATATATAAAAAATATAAATATTCATTAAATAATATTTTTTTCCCCATTAGGACATTTTTATCATGTGAAGGAATATATAAATTCTTGCTTAGCCATGACGCCGATTAATTATTAAAAACTATACCATTGATGCACAGAATTATTTAAACAAATAAATTTATTTAGAATTTTTTTAAAATAATTTTATAGATATTCCGCTAACTTTTAATGAATAAATTATAAGTTTACAATTTAAAAAAGTTATTTTTTAAATAAATGCTCGCTTTAAATAAAAATTTGCTCAAAAGAACGATAAAAATAGGAATTTTTTTTTATATGGTATTCGAATTGAATGGAAACAAAATATAAAAATGTTGTTTACATATTTTTTTTTCTCTTCTTTTCGAGCAGCGAACCCTGATACAAGCGATAAAATCTGTATCTAGATAACTCTATGATATATATTTGTATCTAGATCAACCTAAAAATATTGATATATGTAATTCAATTAGATGGGAAAGGGGCAGCTAGTGATGGTGTACGATAATGGACAATAAATATTTACTTAACAAGAATTGGATTTTATATAACCTTTTTTTAAGATTTATTAAGCCTAACCCTTATTTTTTAAACCATCTCTCTTTTGCTTAGGATCCAAGATGTTGGAAACCTATATTTTTCTTTGCATCTAAATATTGATTTGACAAACTAACTACCCCTAATACCCATTTTTACAGACTTTGGTTAAATTGTACCAATTAATTTTTCTAGAGATGCACCAATACTTTTAATTTCATTCGATAAATATAAGAAGAAAAAATTTATCTTAAAATTTATAAACAGATAAGAAAGAAAGCTTTCGAAAGTAAAATATAACACTCATATTGTTTATTGAATGCCTAATATTTTACTTTTAATAATAGCCATCATAAAATAATATTAATAATAAAAAGAGAGTTGATTCTTTTCATTTCTTACTTTTAAAATTTTGTTGCGGAATTAAATTATTATGAAGAATATGCAAGAAAATAAATTACAACTAGAGCCTTTATTAAAGTTCAAAGGGCTTAAATTTAAAAATATTTTGGTGGAAATAAAGACTTGGAAAAATCGTATAGTATTTTTTTTCTACAAATTTTCAAATAACAAGTTTTTTGATTATATTTCCTTTAAAAAAACTTGGTATCAGTATCCATCGACAATCATAAAATTGATATTAATAAAGTCCAGGGATATGAATCGGACCACGAACCTTCATATTTTTGATAGACACAAACCCGAACCCTTTTTTTAAAGGAGAGGGTTCTAGGTATCAAAAAAATAAATCATTATTTTTATTTTCGCATTTTCCAAAATTTCCTGGTTTATATATATTTCAATTTTATAGTGAAACGAGTGTTAAAAATCAACTAATAAAAGGGGATAAATATAATAAAATTTTATTTTAATTTAATACATATTGAAATTAACTATGGACAAGCAATTAATTAACAAGATTAAATCGGTTTTAAATTTAAAAAGAAATTATGTAAATATATAATTTGTGATAAAAAATGGAAATTTTTTTATGATATTCTTTGAGAATGTTCAAGTAAGATTTTTGATTAAATTTTATATAAAATTCTAAACCATTTTTTGTAAAAAGTCTTTTTGATATTTGAAAATATTTTAGAATTTCTTAAATGTAATCTATTTTGAAATTTTGCACCCATTTATTTCGATAAAAATATGATAATACTATAAATTTTTATAATAACTTTGATAAAATAATTAATACATAAAAAATATAATTATAATTTATCAAAATATTCTATTGTTCTACGAATTTTATGATGGTACCTTTTTAGAAATCAAAAGAGTTAATATTATAATTATTAATACAAATCAATTAAAAGGATTACCTAATTAATCAGTTGCCCGCGATAACCCAACTCCAAATAGCTTTGCATGTGATTGTAAAAGTTAGTAAAATCATAAGGAATAAATCCGTGTAAGAGCTGAATAATATTCCCAATAATTTCATCTCTTGAATTAGGACGGGGGTTTATTGCTTGATATTTATTTTTCAAGACTCCAAAAAAATTTTCGATGGGGTTTAGCTGAGGCGAATATGGTGGTAGATATTCAATCCTATCTTTATATGCATCGATAAGATGGCTTCTATGTATAGATGCATTATCCATTACAATAATTGCATCTGGTGGTAAGACACTGATAAGCTCTGTCATAAAATCACGGAATAACAACCCATTATAAGCTCCTTCGATTATTTTATAATGGATTACCCCTTCAATTTCAATTGTACAAAGTATGCTTACATTTTTACCCTTAGAGGATGGAATTTTTATTATTGGACGGACATTGTATGGTGCCCAGGCGTAGATTGGTACAACGTGCAAGTTTATTCCAGTTTCATCTAAGAAATATAATTTTTCTCTTGGGATATTTATCTTTACACAATAGATTTGACGAATATTGATTGCCCCAGGAGTATTTCTTCTATCAGGCTCCTTGCCAGCTCTTTTTTTCGACCAACCTATATTTTTTATATATTTGCTAATTGTTGTTTTCGTTTTTGGACTACCAGGAGGTAAATTTTCTATTATCTGCTGGATAGTAAGAGTATTATTATCCATCAATAAATTTATGATGCGTCTTTCAATTATGGAAGTATCTTATTTTTTACTTCCTCTTTTTTGAATATTATATTCTTTTAAAGGATCTCCATTTATATCTGGAAATGTGTCCCGTCTAAATTTATGAACTGATGCTGTAGACATTTCGAAGTATTTTGCAATATCTTTAATCTCTCAGGCATTGGTAACATTTTAGTCTTTTCTTTATTTCAATATTGTGTATTCTTTTTGGTCTTTGAGTTCTCGACGAAGATTGGGAGTTTTCATTTAAATTGGAAAAATTAATATTACTAGGATAATAAAGATTCTATATTAAACATTTTTTTTTTATTATTTAAGAAAAATTTAAAAAATAATAAATATTTTTTTACTTATTTATGAAAAATTTAAATAAACACATTTATTTTCAACGATAAATCTTGTTAATTAATTACTTGTCCATATTTAATTTCAATATGTATTAAATTAATAAAACTTTATTATATTTACCCCTTTTTATTGTTAGTTGATTTTCAACACTCGTTTCACTGTATAGGTAACATCTTGTTTTAATTTATGTCAATTTTAGAAAGTGAAATATTGTGATTTTTTTTTAGTGTAGATATTAATATTTTAGTATAAATGATAATGTATTAATATGCTATATAATAGGAATACGTTGCTTATCTTGTTTTATATCAATTTTAAAAAGTGAAATATTGGTAATTTTGTGGCTGGTGCGTAACCAAGGTTGAGAGAATCAATCCCTAACCCATCTCAAATGCCTGTTCTCGTGTAAATATATCATTTTACCCTAATTAAAATTTCCTCCCTACACATCCCTCATTCCCCTCTCTCTAAGAAATACATAAAGAAGAATTTGAAGGAAAAATTAGTGAAAGTTGCTAACCTTTTAAAATAACTATAATTCAAAATTTTTAGAAAAAAAAACATTTTTAAATAAAAACCCAAAATTATTTTTATATAAATCTACTATAGACAAAGGCCTGCAATAAGTGGGCCTGAAAATCTCTATAAAATTTATGGGAAACCATCAAATAATGCCCCCCCCCCAATAAAATCCCTGATACGCTTATGTTTGTAGTGTATATAATATTTTATTATAAATGATATTAAGGGCTATGCGATTAAATAAAATGTCAATTATAAAATAATTTTTTTATTTTGTAAAATGCTATAAAAATAACATAAGAAAAGTGTTATTTTGAGTCATTATTTCTTATATTCTACAAACTCGGACCCTGGACCTGAATTCTTTTTTAAAATTTTATTTCTGAACCCGGGCTTTTTTTTGTCAAATCCCTGATAAAGACAGCGTTGTTAATTTCTCTTCCTATTTCTTTTTAAAAAATTTATGCGGAATTAAGTTTATGAAGAATAAATATGCAAGAAAATAAATTACGACTATAAGTTTCATGAAAATTCAAAGGTATTTTTATGGCTCAAATTAAAATTTTTGTAGAAATGAAGACTGGGGACAATCTTAAAATATATTTTTTTTTTCAAAGAAACTAAGTTTTTAAAAATTTACTTC